CCCTCCACCAGAGGAGACAACCCCACCGCCAGAGGAGACCCCCCCAGAGGAGCCGACCACCCCTCCACCAGAGGAGACAACGCCAGAGGAGCCGACCACCCCTCCACCAGAGGAGACAACCCCTCCACCAGAGGAGACTACCTCTCCACCAGAGGAGACTACCCCTCCACCAGAGGAGACAACTCCAGAGGAGCCAACCACCCCCACACCAGAGGAGACAACCCCTCCACCAGAGGAAACAACCCCAGAGGAGACAACCTCCACACCAGAGGAGATAACCCCAGAGGAGCCGACCACCCCCACACCAGAGGACACTACCCCACCACCAGAGGAAACCACTCCACCAGAGGAGACAGCACCAGAGGAGCCGACCACCCCCACACCAGAGGAGACAACCCCATCACCAGAGGAAACAACTCCTCCACCAGAGGAAACAACCCCTCCACCAGACGAAACAACCCCAGAGCAGCCCACAACCTCCACACCAGAGGAGATAACCCCAGAGGAGCCGACCACCCCGCCACCAGAGGAGACAACCCCTCCGCCAGAGGAAACAACCCCAGAGCAGCCCACAACCTCCACACCAGAGGAGACAACCCCAGAGGAACCAACAACCCCCACACCAGAAGAGACAACCCCAGAGGAGCCGACCACCCCGCCACCAGAGGAGACAACCCCTCCACCAGAGGAGACAACACCAGAGGAGCTGACCACCCCCACACCAGAGGAGACAACCCCAGAGGAGCCGACAACCTCCACACCAGAGGAGACAACCTCAGAGGAGCCCACAACCTCCACACCAGAGGAGACAACCCCAGAGGAGCCGACCACCCCCACATCAGAGGAGACAACACCAGAGGAGACAACCCCTAAAGCAGAAGAGACAACCCCAAAGGAGCTCACAACTCCTAAACCCGAAGAGACAACCCCAGAGGAACCAACCACCCCTACACCAGAGGAGACAACCCCAGAGCAGCCAACAACCCCTGCACCAGAGGAGACAACCCCAGAGCAGCCCGCAACCCCCACACCAGAGGAGACAACCCCAGAGGAGCCCACAACCCCTAAACCAGAAGAGACAACACCAGAGGAGCCCACAACCCCCACACCAGACAAGACAACTCCAGAGGAACTGACCACTCCCGCAGCAGAGGAGACAGCACCAGAGGAGCCAACAACCCCTAAACCAGAAGAGACAACCTCAGAGGAGCTGACCACCCCTATACCAGAGAAGACAACCCCAGAGCAGCCAACAACCCCCATACCAGAGGAGCCCACAACCCCTAAACAAGAGGAGACAGCCGCAGAGGAGCCAACAACCCCTAAACCAGAAGAGACAACCTCAGAGGAGCTGACCACCCCTATACCAGAGAAGACAACCCCAGAGCAGCCAACAACCCCCATACCAGAGGAGCCCACAACCCCTAAACAAGAGGAGACAGCCGCAGAGGAGCCAACAACCCCTAAACCAGAAGAGACATCATCCAAGGAGCTGATCATCCCCTCACCAGAGGAGACAACTCCTGAAGAGCCAGCGACTTTAGCGGACTCTCCCACCACCACTAACCCTGAAGAGACAACCCCAGAGGAGCCAACAACCCCCAAACCTGAAGAGACAACCCCAGAAAAGCCTTCAACCAAGGCAGACTCTCCCACCACCCCAAAACCTGAAGAAACAACCCCAGAGGAGCCAACAACCCCCAAACCAGAGGGGACTACCCCAGAGGAGCCAACAACCAAGGCAAACTCTCCCACTACCCCCAAATCCAAAGAAACAACCACAGAAAAAACTACAACCAAGCCAGACTCTCCTACCACCCTTAAAGAAGAGGATTCTGACTCTCCGACCAGCCCTGCAGCACTTGATGCCTATACCACTGCCAGTAAAGCCACAGCTTCTCCAGACAATGCTGCAGCCACAACAGCTGGGAAGGACTCCCCCACACTTGAGGCAGGCACAATACTTACAGATGCCACAGTGGAAAACAAGGAGACAGCAACACCCAAGAAAGACAGAACTACTCTGCTTAAAGACATTTTCACAGCTGCAACTGGGAAAGACACAGTTATGGTAGCTATGGTGACAACAGCTAAACCAGATTCTCCTAAAGGTATGGATGACATTCCAGACACATCTCCTATGGCCAAGCAACCTGTCACTGCAGCAGCTGAATCAGAAACAACTTCTACAGACACCAAGACTGCAACAACAGCAGCCACAGCTCACTTTCCCAGTCCCACTGTGCTGGTAACAACCATCAAAGATTCAACTCCTCAACCCAGTGAGGCTGTAACACCAAATGAAAAAGAGACAGCTACAGACACTGAGCAGGCTGGGCCAGCAGCACATAAAGACAGCCCAGGTGCTACTTGTGTTATTGTGGAGATGACAACAGCTGGTAAAAAAGAGGTAACAATCATCAAAGAAATGGGCACCACACCTGAAAAAGAAATGGAAGATGTCACTGAAAAGGTTCCTGGTATTGACAAAGAAGAGGTAACTACAGTTACCAAAGAAACTACAACAAGAGTTTATAAAAAGGACACAATAGAAGAAATGTATCTTGTGTCCAATGGGACATCCAAGCCAACAATACATTTCCAGGAAGTCACTGAGGCCAGAGAAGAGGCTCACCCAACTGAACCTGAAACTCTGCCAGTGAAAGAAGAGCCCGAGATAAACAAACCTTTAATACAAGTTGGGGACCTGCCAATGTTCCCTGGAGAAACACAAGGTAAGTGCATTCCAGTAAGTATGAAAGCATCAGTAACTCAAGGGAACGTGGCAGTGTCCTATAGGCAGCCACAGCACCACAGCTGCCAGTGTCCTGAATACTGGAACCTCAGTTTTCAGCTGTGGAGTTAAATCCTTCAGGTAGTTTAGAACATGAACTAAATTAATTGGTTTCAGTAAAATAATTGGTCCTACTGAAAATTGGCTGCTCTAAGTTTCTCCTCCTCCTGTTTGCTATTGTAGAAGATGCAAACAGACAAAAAGTCAAGGGAAATAGATGACAAATTTCTAAAGCCCATGAAAAAATTGCTAGAAATCAGGCTGCACATCCACCCTCCCTCATGGTACCTAATCTGGTGTTTTGTAGCCACCTACTAAAAATGTCATATAAAAGAGACAAGAAGTCTCTTGCCTCGGTGCTTTTTGCCACAGCCTTTTTCATACCCTCTCTGTATTTTAATCAGGCGTAGCAGGTTCTTGGGAAATTTTTCAATCCTATATTGAAATATACTTTGGTGGGAAAAATTAGGGGTTTAGATGTAAAATATTTGAATTTCAGTCTAAAAGAGATTCATCTTTCCTTTATATTTAACTGCATATATAGATAACTGAAAGAAAGCATAAATGCTTTTCTTTTTTCCTCTTAAAGAAATAACAAGAGGGAAGAGAAAACGCTAAAGCAGTTAAAGGAGCAATGAAATCCCAGAGCATGCAGCAAGTCCACGAGGGATGTAACATACGAGGTGTTTGTAGGTGTTTTCCTGAATTACAGGTACTTAGGTGGCAATAAGCAAAGACGCCCACACCTGGTCACTCGGCACTGCTGGGGGCACAGCACCAGAGCCGAACTTTCCGAGAACACGTCCCCGACGAGGAATTAATCCCTAGCCCACAGGCGGGGCCGAGGGGGAAAGCTAAGGCCGTTCTTGTGGAGCCTTAAACAAACCCAGCTGGCTGTGTTTTGCAGAGAGGAAGAACGAGGAGAAGGACCTTTGCAGCGGCAAGCCAGCAGACGGCATGGTGGCCCTGCCCAATGGCACCCTGGCCGTCTTCCGAGGTGAGAGTGCTCCGAAATCCTCCACCTGTCCCGGCATGGCCCTATTCCTCCTTCACCTACCCGGCTCTGGCTCCGGCCCTGGTCCCAGCCCTCCTCCTTCTCCCGCAATCGCCAGATCTCCTCCTTCACCTTTCCCGGACCCAATGCTTTACCTTCACCTCCTCCTTGACCTGCCCCGTCGCTCTTCCTCCTCTTTTTCCTCCCTCACTCGCCCCGGTGCCCCTCACTCCTCACGAAACTCTCCCGAGCCCAGAGCCCGCCCCGGCAGACCCCTCACGGGGCCGGCTCAGCCACGTCCCCGGGGCAGGACGGTGATGTTCCCCCACTGTCCCCGGGACAGGTCGTGCTGTCCCCAGCACCCCTCACGCCTGTCGCCCCCCCAGGTCACTATTATTGGCTGCTGAACGGCCGGACCCCACCGACCACCAACCCCCGCCGGATCAGCGACGGCTGGGGCATCCCCTCGCCTATCGACTCTGTCTTTTCCAGGTGTAACTGCGATGGGAAAACCTTCTTCATCAAGGTGAGAGCGGCCTCGGCCGGCAGGATGGGGCGAGGCTGATGAGGAGCAGCTGGGGAAGCTCATGCTGGAGGAAAGGAGGCTTAGGGGGTAGCTTATGACTCTCCATAGCTCCCTGACAGGAGAAGGCAGTTGAGGGGAGTTGGGCTCTGCTCCCAGGGAACAGAGATAAGATGAGAGGAAAGGGCCTCAGGTTGCACCAGGGGAGGTTTAGATTGGATATTGCGGAAAAAAAAATGCCTAAACTTATTCCTAGTATGTTTCCCAACCTGAAATAAAATGCTAATGAAATGCCCACACCTCATTAAAGTTGTTATGTAGTTACTTCCCAGTAAATCACTCAGTCCTAGAATTCAAGCTGCTTATTATATCTATGAAAATTTAAAAGATTTAGAATAACATCTCTTTGTTCAGTAACCCCTCTTAAAAATTAGCTTCTAAGATACTCTATCCCTATTCAAAGGTTAAAAGGCTGTAGGAGGTACTTAATGAAGTTGTAGTAGATTTATCCAATTTGTGATGGATGTAGGAGGGATTCCAGTCAGATTTACAATGTGGTAATCAAAGTGCTAGTGCTTATTTATGGATTATTCTTCATGGCTTTTTTTGCAGTTCAATAACCAGGAATTAACTTCCTCTAAAACTCATTTTCTTTTCCTTAAATGCACAGGGGCCCCTGTATTGGCGCTTCACTAATGGTGTTATGGATAAAGGCTATCCCAAACCTCTTGCAACTGGATTTGCAGGGTTAAGTGGGAGAATAGTAGCAACCCTCCCTGTGGCAAGATACAACAACAGACCAGAATCTGTTTATTTTATCAAAAGAGGTATGTTTTGTATTTCTGAAGTTCAGGGAACATCAAAAGGTGCTTGAATTGCCTTAGTCAGGAGTAAAACATCATTTCTCTTGACCCAAGACCCATTTCTTTCAAACACAAACACAAATGATGCCCATGTTCCGGGTCCTCAAAAATAGCCTGAAGCTTTAAAAAACTTGTATTAGTACTTGGAGGTCTTTTAGTGCATTTTAAACCAGACCTGTAAGGGTGAGAATCCAGGAATCCAGCACTGCAGTGGCTAAACACTGAAATAAGTTTTATCTGGTGGTAAAGTTATTTTAGTCTCAAGTTAATTAGAGAAGGAAAGGCTTTATTCTCCCTAGTTCTTAAGTATGTGTGGAAATTTCCATCTCTATTTCTGATTTCCTGTTTTAAAGAAATTTCCTTATCTTACATGAATGCTGTACTGCCACAAGAATGTTATTTGTTATTGATTTCCTGTGTGCAATACGAATGTAATGACATTTTCATACCTGATCAAGCTGGTGGTTGGGTGTGTTTTTGGGGGAGAGGGAGTGGTTTATTTTTTTTTGACCTAACAAAACAAATGTGTTTTAGATGGGAACATGCAGCAGTACGTGTACAGACAAGAACCAGCCAAGAAGTGTCAAAGAAGAGCTCGTGTCACCATCAGATATCCAGCCTTTGTTCCTAGACTTGTCATCCGGCGACGCTTCCAGCGTGCTGTGCAAATGCCAACCATCATCCGCACTGTCAGGATCAACCCCCACCCCTCTGGTAATGTGAACATTACGGTTCTCTTACATGGATACTTTTACCTCTATAGGTTCTCACACAACATTGTGTTTGGAAGGTTTTAATGGCTGTAGGTGACAACAGCCCTATGACAGCTGCAGCGGTGCCACAGCTCCTCACAGAGGGTTTTTTGCTTGCAGGAGCTCTGCGCAAGGAAATCCAAATGACAACATACTGGAGAGGGCTCCCCAAAGTTATCCACTCAACTCTCTCTGTGCCCAACCAGAACAAGCCCGATGGCTATGATTACTACGCCTTCTCTTACAGTAAGTAAAACTAAAGCACATCACTATGGATCTCAAAAGACATGGGGGTGGGGAAGAAAGAAGCTCCTGTTATCACTTGTGGTACTACTTTCAGCACTACTAGGAAATACTGAAAACTAAAATATTGCCCATAATCAAGAGATGTTTCTTTTAGAAATCTGTAATTACAGGACAACGTGCAGCAATGAAATACAGAGGTTCAAAGCAGCCAACTGGGGAAGGCATTACCAGGGAATTCAGCCTTATAAAGTGACAAACCTTGCGCTTAAATTAAGGATTATGTTAATGACAGACTGAAGTCTTTGAATAGCTACACAGCAAATTTTTCAATAGCTTCTGTGGAACTACATTTCTGAGAAAACACAAAAGGGAGGGAGATGAACTACTTGACTTAGCTCAAAAACAGTATTTATGATCCAAGATTAGGTAGACTCATTCCCCAAACCAGGATCCCATATAAGCATTCCTCAGAATTTTCTGCATTTAAAAAAAAAAAGCAAAAACCAACAAACTGTAAGAACAAGCCATACCCAAATATAGGCTATTAAAGTCCCTGTCAGTAAGATCCAGCCTCACAGGCCCATTCACACTCAGGGACCGTGGACTTCCCACTTCTGTAGTGAGTGCAGGATTGTGGTGGATATAGTTTGTTTGATTTCCAAACTCTTGTGATTATTTCTGTGTTCTAACAATACAAGAACATTCTTCCCTGCTCCTGCTCTTGGAACAGATTTAATTATTAGCAGTGCTGTAAAACTTACTGTAACCAAGGACACCTGAAAAATAAAGCTGAGGACGGAAATTTACTGTTGGAGCCTCTCAGCTCCCTATATGCACATGGAATGGAAAATTTGTAATTGAGGCCTAAGTGACATTAAAATGCAGGCTTGAATTTGTGAATTCTTCCCATATATTAAATGTCGTTTCTGGAATTTAATCCTGAACTCTCTTCCTTTCAGATCGGTACTACAGTTTGGATATTGGCAAAAGAATAGCACGACCGGTTACTGCTCTCACAGGAAAGACTGTATCCAAAGACTGGTACAACTGTCCCAGCAAGTGATGCGCAGCAGCGGAGTTTAAAACAAGATGCCATTTGAATGTCAATGTTTTTTCTAATTTTATTAATAAAAGACATTGAAATGTGTGCACACAACTCTAAGTATGAAATGCTGCTTCAAGCTCTGGCTTCATTACACTAAGCAATCACAGGCAAACTGGCATTTTGTATACACAGCTGGAAGTACTTTACATTTCATTTAACTAATGTTTCCTCTGTTCAGGCCTCCTCTGCCTCCCATGGCATGAGTTACACCTGTGCAGGGAAAGAAAACAAGTGCATTAGTATAAACCCTTCTTACCCTTTTAATCAACCACTGCACAGTTGATATTTCATCCTTCCCTAAGGAATTTTCAGGGCAAGGGAGTGGTTCCTTTCTGATACAGTTCAAGTTCCCCTCTCTCCCCCTAAGCCTGGTGACACATGTAAAATGTCACCTGTGTCATGCAAAAGGCTGGGGCTGACTTGTGATCCTGAGCCAAACCAATGAGCAGAGGACTCTTACAACATCTGAAATCAGGTAGTCCCTCCTTTTCATTATTAAAAAAAATGGTGACAGATGGAAGAAAATCTATCCTAGGCCCACCTCCTTATTTTTTTCCCCTTAAAATACCAGCTAATCTATATTTCAATGCTAATATTGAGTTTTCTACAATGTTAAAATAATACAAAACAGAATAAAATCTAAGGCTTTTTCTTAATACAGAAGTTGCAAAAATAATTTATTGTCATAGTTTAACTCTAGTGCACAAAAAAAACCTGTAATCCTTCCAATAAAGCTTTTTTTCAACGAGTACGCATTGATTTAACTGGAACATTAATGCACCAAATGGAAATTCCTCTAATGCTAAAACCAGAAGTTTCTAAACTGCTGTCCTAACAGGACTTTTGAAACCTTCCCTTAAAACTTTGAAGTATAAGATCTAGTGCCCTTTACTTTCTCTCTATTGATAAGAGCCAGGTGCCACTGCAGAAGGAAGTTTGCTCAGCCTAACACACTAAACCCAAACCAGAGCTCTTAGGGTCACATACCAAACTCAAGGACAGGGCTGCTGTGTCACTCCCTGTCTGCTAGCAAGGCCAGCCTGTAAAGCTTTAGATGTGGTACCCAAGGGAGGAAAGGGCTAGAGCCATGTTTGCAGCAGTCTGGCTGGGAGCAGCCAGGAGCACTTACCCCTCTGCCTGTTGAACTGCCGGCCACGCACACCCGTCCTCAGTGTTGGGGGCTGCAGCCGGACACGGCGCAGGGACTTGGGCTGAGTGCTGCTCGTGTCTGTGTGAAGAGGCAGTACAGAAAGGGTGGCTGTGCCCGCCAGGTTCTCACTCTTCATCTTTACATGTTATGATATGTGTTATGCTTTCTTTACTTTAGAATGATGAAGATGTCTCCTTATTTCATTGACCTCTCCTCTATTATAAATAAAAGCTTCAAAACAAGTAAGTCTGGGACTTCTTTTGCCATCTATACAAGAGGGTTAATTGATAACTCAATAGAGGTTAACTTACTGTTGTTTCATAATTTAATTAAAAATATTTTTAAGCTGACGTCAAATATGCCAGTGGATAAATCACCGAAGTATAAATAACATTTGCTCCTTTAAATGTTATTCTTACTTGGCCTACTCCAGTTACTGCGGCCCAAAGAAAAATGATTTGTCAATGTACCAAAGAATTTATAAGCATCAAAATATGATCTTGCTCTAAGAGAATCTGGGGAGACCTTAGAGCCCCTTCCAGTGACTAAAGGGGCTCCAGGAGAGCTGGAAAGGGATTTGGGACAATGGACTGTAAGGACAGGACAAGGGGGAATGGCTTCCCACTGTCAGAGGGCAGGGTCAGATGGGATACTGGGAAAGAATTTTTCTCTGTGATGGTGGGGAGGCCTTGTCCAGAGAAGCTGTGTCTGCCTTTGGATCCTTGGAAGTGTTCAAGGTCAGGCAGGACAAAGCCTCAAACAACCTGAGATAGTGGAAGGTGTCCCTGCCCATGGCAGGGGTGGAACTGGATGGGCTTTAAGATCCCTTCTACCCCAAATAATTCTATGAGTGTCATTCTAAGAGTTTTATCTTATTTTGTGTATCCTGGCTGCCAGCCATGATGCTGGACAAAGGAATTCCCACTCTTAAAGTAAAGGTACTAACTATTATTGTGATTATCCTGTACCTGCAGATGAACTCGAAGGAGGATCCTGACTAGTTGAAGGAAGATCTGACTCATCAGATGCTTGAACAGATTCTTCTTCTTGCTGGCTATCGATTTCTAGACCTGCTTCTGAAGTAATGCTAGAAGGGAAGGAGGGGGAGGAGAACCATGTAAGTGTACTTGCATAGTTTCAAAAAGGTCCAGAAAAACCCCTTGTCTTGGAACACAAAGATTAAACGAAAATAAAAAGTAAAATAAAGCATAAAATTATAAATGGTCCCCTTTTAGATCTTTACTTCATCATAATACAAAATATAGCAATTATTATAAATATTACAAATATTAAAAGTTGCACTTGTAAAGCAAAAGACCAAATTATTTGTCTACAAAATTCAGTAAGAACTGCTTATTCCAGCCCCGTGCTTCATCTTTTGTACATGCACTGTCTTAAATGAGTGACTTAATCTTATATGTGTGCTTTGCATGAGGAGTGATATTCTGTATTACACAGGAATGCCTTAGTCTTTATTTTACAAATTGATCCTTCAACCTGTACCTTTACCATCAGTATTTGACTATTACAGAGTCCTCTGCATTCTTAAAAAAATACAAATTTATTTTTTTGATGACTTTTATATTAACTTTGCTAAATCCCAAGAAGATCAGCAGAAAACCATTGGTTCTGGATTAAGTGTCAGATTGTCCGGCTTCACAGCATTACAAAATGCTGTCTGAGCTGTCCCTGGGTGACAGTGAACGTGTCAGAAGTGCTAGTGAACCAAAGCAATGGTGCTTTACCCTTCAGACTCTGCCTCTGCAAAGACCTCGTCAGCATCGTCACCGGTGCCAGGCTCGGTGGTGGTGGACAGGCTGCCAGTGGAGGTGGTGACCATGGGCACGGACTGGGATGCATGCTCTGAGGCATCAGCTGAGGCGCTCTCTGTGAACACCGTCACTGGGGAGCACAGACACACTCAGGGCCTGCCCACAGAGCAGCACAGGCAGCTCGGGGACAGGCTGCAGCAGCACTGCACCAACCATGGGGAATCGTTCCCTGCTTTGCTCTGCACATCTCTGCCACTTACCTGGTGCTGCCACTTGTAACGGTGTTGTGGGGACACTACGACCCCCTGATTCCTCCTCGTGGGCAAGGAATAGTGGGGTTTCATACATCCCTAAACCTGCAACACAAAGTTCCAGTGACAATCCATCCAAATCAGCAGCTAAAAAAAGGATTAACTGATGTCTTCCCTCTGGACACTTCATAAAATTCAGTCACTTGTATTTAAGCAGATTTTTGTAACTTCGTTTTGACTTGGTGTCAGAGCTGATCATAATTTATTGGGATGTAAAATCTTGATGAAAATACAACTGCTTGTTTTTTTTAACTTTCATCCTTGCCTTATGCCATTATTTTGCTGTGATCTTTCTTTAGAGAACAGCCTGTGTTCCATGCCAAAAGGGATGCTGGGGAAAGAGACAGATTCAGACCAACACAAACACAACAGCCTGGCGATCTCTGAGCAGATAAGGATATGACCCAAAGATTTCTTTGCATTTGCTGTTTTTCCCCTATTGTTTCACTACAGAGAAGCTACAATAGTAAAATTTAAGTTAAAAACCATTCCTTCAATATTTCATTCAATTTCAAAATCCTAACACAACTAGAAATGTAGCGGCTTGAAGATAACATCTTCTCACTTTCTATTATTCTCTCGCTGCAGACAATTATTTAAGAGTTGCACTTTTCCACACTTCAACAATTTCCTGAAGCAGAATTTTATTTTGTTGACTGAATTCTCTGTTTTTCACTCAAATACCCATGGAAAGAGAGCCCAGAACAGCTTTACCTCCTTGTGATGCCAGCTGCCCAAGGTCAGAGTGACTGGAGCTGGTTTGTGGCATATCCTCAGGAGGCCCAAATCTGAACCGAGGAACTCCAGCTACCTGGGGGGAACTGGAAAAATACAGATTTAAGGAATTCTGCAACTTCCCCAAAGATCACGGCAGGGTGGGAAGAACTTTCTGACCAAGAGAACAAATCGTGCATGAGACAAAATGAGCTAATACTGACCATAAAAATCAGCTGAGCTACTGCTAAATAAAGAGCAATTAGCTTCTCAGATTATTTGGAACACATTCAAAGTCAGTACAACAGTCCTGAAGAGAATATCCATTCTATGAACTCTCACATTTTTACATGCATTGGTGGACATGTCTCAAAAGCAAAAATAGAGGTAACTTTTCCTGCTTTCACTGGTAATATTAATGGGGAGGGAGGAAAAACAAGGAAGGAAATCGGATAGAATTTTTTTTTTTTGTTTAATCTCTTCTTAAATCACTAGGTTACAATACACTGGAGAATATTCACTTCTTAGTTTGCTGATCAGTTATATGACAGACAGTTCAAACAATAATTACTTATCTGCACATGCAGTTATCTATCCTACTACCTAGCATATTACTCCAATCACAAGTTCATTTAATTTAAATTTATTTTCATTTCACTGAAAAATATGAAGAAATAGAATAGAGAAAAGCCTTTTTTTTCCTTTTTCTTTTCACATCTACTTACTGAATGGCTTCTGCAAATCCATCTGTACGATGTGGAACTACAAGAGTTGGTGTGCTTGGAACTGTTCTGTCCTCATCATCAAAGAAGTGCTGCTGCTGGAAAAAAAAAGACTGATATGAGAGCCTACAATGTATTTCCAGTTTTTACCAGGTGAGTTGAAGGTTGATTTTTCCACATAGTCCATAAACAGATTTAGCTCTAACAAAATTCTTGTTTAATTTCAGACATCTAAAGCTGATGCCTTTGATCTTACCAAAGGTACTTTAGTCAGTCTCTCTTTTCACTCATTGAACCTGCATTTGTTTTGCCAAATACACCTGAATAAAGGGTTCAAAATTAGCTGATGAAGACAGCATAAATTAGCCTTGTTCCTTTACAA